AGCTGAGACGAGAACAAAGGCACACAAGTTATGCAGATTTGGGCAATACCTGAATACAGTAGGCAAGTTGTGTGACTAGTTGATATGATGAACTGCGAAATTGGAATTTAAAATAAAGCGAAGTATGATTAGTGTTCTACGCCGCAGCCACGACGTTTCAATTATGTGTGTGTAACTATGTAAAAGTCGTGCATAATTTTCGGGGATTGGCCACCGTAGCACGCTCACGGAGCATTATGCAACTGAACTAAGTAGAACAAATCTCAACGCAATAACATGTAACATAGTCGAAATTATTGATCACAAATTGATTCAGATAAGTATAAAAGTTTCTGAAGCCGGTGTTATAATTGTAAGATTAGATCGTAACTCATTCCATTTGTCTGGAGCTAAAATATATACCAGTAGAGAAAAGAGTTTGTACTTTTTTAGTTAGTAAATCTGTCAAATATTTATGCTTCATTGTTTATTGTTACGTACAGCTCGATTTGTTCGGGAATTTTAATTCATAGCTATAAATATTTATTATATCATTAGATCTGATTTCGTCTCTGATTTTGCGACGTTTTAATCAACTTTGTTCGCGTAGGACGAGACTATTTTGCAAATCAAGACCAACATCATGTAGTAACAATTTAGATTGAACTAGATTCAAAATTTAAATTTACCGTGGATATAAATCAAGAATATTATTTTTGCCAATACATTACCGATTCAAACTTGTCTCCGCCTTGTTAGAGAGTACACTGTATCGCTTTACTTTTGATGAAGCAAATTAGCCTTTAAACCTTTATTTTTAAGGCCTAGTTGCCGTTCTGATACAAAATAGTTAATTAATGTTATCGTAACGTAATTCTCTTGAATTGTCGATTAAATATTTTTGATAATTAATCCAGAAAATAAATACTAAATACACTTCTTGCGCCCTTTTGAGATTTGTAACTGAATAGTTGAAACATTGCTTCGAAATGGTAAATGAAATATTTATAGTGCAGCACTTTGTCATTCCGTGCGCGCTTGGGAGATTAAGATAAAATTAAAGTTTGTCTAGGCGCGCAACTAGTGCGTTAAGTGTTAAGTCATAGTTAAGTTGCGTTTAATTTTATTACAATTAGTCGCAGGCGTTATCGCCAGTTCATCCGCTGACATTGACATTTATCCGTTCTAATTTTACCACTGTACTCGTATGTCTTGAGTATTTCTCCCATCGTACTATATTTTTCCTACGCTTTTACAGGAGCGATTGCAATTGTTTTTTCAAAACTTTATTTTGGATTTGTTCTTTTTATAGCTTGTTTCTTATTACGGTTTGGTGTGTAATTGAAATGAATGTCTTAACTGCTAATCCGAAGCACTGAAAGAAAAATAGGCACTCTGCTCACAAGCAGAAAACGCGTCAGGAAATTTGTCGTTCAAGTTCAAGACCCGCGACGAGTTAAGAGGTAAATGTTATTTATTCTCAACTACTTTCGGGACTTTAACGGCGCAAACAAGCAGTCAGCAATGGAATGAAACGAGCAAAGAGAGTTGTGGACAGTTACAGAGTGTCAATTATCATTAAACCTCTTCTGACAGGTCTTCAGCGATCAGCGGTTGAATGTCAACGCTGCTTGAGCATGATAAATAATTAAAGAGTCAATCTCTCTATAATTTTGTTTAATTTACTTGAATCCTCCTTGAATTGGCATCTTGCGAGAAGAAAGAGAAGAAAACGTAGAAATCATGTAATTCCACACGGCACCATTTAACTTCATCTGATGGTTATTACGTGAAGTTTTCTTTAAATTCTCTGTTTTTGTTTCGTTTAACTTTTTATGTGTAGAAAGTTTAAATGAACCTAAACTTTGTACGTACTACCAAAATTAACTATGAATTTGTGTAAATTTAGCAATTTGGCGTAAATTTGTAAACGCGTAAAATTTGATTGATGTTGTGGTCGCGTGCGTTTGACTCAATGAGCGGCGAGTCTTGATGAGTAATGAGGCAAAACGGCCGACCTGGATCTCCGCGAACGGCGCGTGCAATTTCGAAAAAGTTTCTGGCGCCAGTTTGGGCGTGCATATGCTATCTGCATGCACATTTTTGTCAAACGCGCGTCGCACGAAATATTTTATTGTAAATTATGCGCGCGAAGCATGTGCGGTAATTATCATTAGCATCGACATCCAGGCATGGCATTGGAAAAAAAATCACAGAGACGGATTTAAACATTCCATCCAAAATAATGCTAGATAAATATAGGTATTGGAAGTACCTACATGTAGGTACTCATTTAAGATATCGGCGTAGTATATTCGGCAATCGCTAGCATCTAAAGTCGGTAACACAAATTGAAGCCGCATTACGCGCTATAATGGGCCATAACGCAACCATTATACAACAATAGTATTTCATCTAATTCCCGCTGTATATAGTAGACGTCATTATGATTGTAAAATCAAGTGTGAAATGATGTGCAATTTTTATGTGTCGATATTTATGCGTGGTCGCTATTTATTTTTTTGATGATCCGGCTCTGTCAATTATAAAGTTTTCTCGATTAAATCTCTGTCCCACCGTTGGACGCATCGGACATCAATCAACTTCTTCTCAGTTGTGAGGTGTTTCAGTACTATAATTACCACTCAACTTGTTTGGAGGAACAATGATCGACGATAATCTTTAAAATGATTAAATTATTAATTTGATCAATTCCGTTATGACAACATGGTATTGCGCCAGACGGGAGAGACTTTATTCTTGTGAATGGCTGAAGATGAAAAAAGAAACAACAAATAAATTCGATTACAACAAGCTCTTGTTGTTGCACCAACGCGGTCGTCGCGCCATTCTGCGATCGAGTGGGTGTGGCTTAAAGAATTCGAACTCGATTACTTGCTTATAGCCAATGAGTTTTTCCTTGTTTTTTATTCTGTGTGCACTTACGTCACAAAACTCCACGCCATTTTATTAATAGCACCATATACCTACAATTCACTTATTTTTGCGGGATGCGTTTAGAGATAATTTTCTGTCATTTTATCTCAATAATGTCATCAAAGACGCTTTTAAAAATAATGTAATTTATCGATGACGAAAAGTAAAGCCAAATTGTCTATATAAAGAAGATGAGAAAAATATTTCGCATCGCTTTGTTTGACTATTTGAAGCTCTGACTAGTAGTGTACAGTTCTTGAGTACGGTGAAAGCTGGCTAGCTGGCCAGCAGACGACGACGATGCGACCTTTCGACCCCGCGAGACATTCTTATCCGCTGCAGAAAACTCGCAACGTCGGAATGCTAGCGTGTGTCTTCGTGTCCCACAAAAACTGTTATCAAAAAGTAAATAAAAACTGATCAATACTCTAATTTAACTTTAGTTTTTTTTTAGCTACTGCATCTTTCGACACGCTATTCATTGCAAATCGCATATCTTTCTAAAACGGAAATGTCAGTAGAGGAGATGATTGTCGATAGCAAACGTATAAATGTAATTTTAATCGTAATTGACGCTGCATGCCGTCGTTGACGGGAAGCGCGACTTTCTTTGCTCACCAGCTTACATTTTCTCTTTTTGCATCATGTGTGTTTACTTTACGTTTGCCCCGAACGCAAATGCGTTATCGCCGTAATTTTATCTCGAATAACTCAATCGTGCAGCGCGCTTGTGAACTGCGGCTTCTTATTTTCCGGCGTTAATTAAAGCGTTGGATATCGCAAAAGCCGCAATGTTTTTTTGCTGTGTGATGTGTGATGATGATTACTCTGATGAACAGTGTGGAATGTTTGCATTCGGAATGCACGCTGAGAATACAAGCGCAAGTTGCTTTGATTGCTGGCTTTCGCTCGAATTTTCACATGCAGCAACAGACGCACAATGGCGGTTGCATCCGACAATTCAAGCGACGATGACATGCACTGCGCGAGTTAACGCGCTGCGAAGAGATTAGTGTGTTTCCGCATTTCTCAATCATTTCCAATTCTTGTGGATTCGGTTTTATTATTTATTCCAGGCGAGAACTCTCACGCAATAATTGTACCTATTACCTACTAGGTATAGTTTTCTTACTGCTTACACATATGGTCACACGTTATGTTAGATTACTTGTCACATATTCTTCTACATCTTGCATTCTTCTACTGCTGCGCGCGTTTGTCGATTGTGCTGTTCGGCGAGAATGCGGGCGCTATCGACGACGACTTCCTGTACGAAAATGGTCGCGCATCCTACGTTGACCTGTCATGCTGGCCACAACAATCACTAACCTAACCATGAAAATGCCCTCGCTTGCAACCCAGCGCACATGCGCACTCTCGTAACGGTATTTTTGCTGTGACAAAGAGAAACGACAAACGGCACTTGCGTAGACAATGGATGCGTAACTTAAACGTCAAGTATTCGCGAATATTAGCCTTGTTTTGTTATTGGTAAGTGCATTTAAGAATTGATTTATTTATTACAAATGTTATACGACCGCATCGTTTAGTTGAGATAGAGTTGGTTCGCCGATAAGTGTCCCAGTTCTCATGTTCTCGTGGCACACACAACCGAGCGCATCGGTGAAGACGCAAGATCACAAGATCATCGCGCGAGCAATGGATTTGCGCGCTGTGTGCATATTTTTGTATTGAATGTGCAATTTAGGTTGTTTGTTCATGTGGGGGTGTGCGTGAAAATTAACTTAAGTTGACTTAACCTGAAGATAACAAAGGACGATGAAAAACCACATTCTCCGAGCAATACGCCTTTGTTTTCACTTCAGAGTAATCTAGATAAATCTAAAACATCTTTGAATAGGTATGAATTGCAAAGAATAATGGCTGCAACAGTGCTGCCATTATCAACTTAATGCACTCTAATACGCTAATAATGATGATGACAAGGTGCAAGTGCAGTGCGATAAAATCAAGCATTCGCAGTCTTCTAGGCGCTCATATTAAATATATTTTCAAGTTCATTGACACGGGTTTGCGACGTTGCTAAGACAATTTGGAATTAATGCGTTTCATTTTCTTTGCAGGGGAAAGTTTGCCAACGTCCGCAAAGCTACACACAAAATTACCGGCGTGCACTACGCAGCCAAATATATTAAAAAACGTCGACGTGCTGTCGACCAAACCCCAGAGATACACCACGAGATTGCTGTGTTAATGAAATGTGCGGACAACTCGCGCGTAGTACGTCTGCATCAGGTGTACGAGACAAATTCAGATGTCGTACTTATGCTTGAGCTGGCCGCTGGCGGTGAACTACAGCAGATCCTTGACCAGGACGAAATACCCACTGAGCTAGAGGCGCGCCGTGCTATGAAGCAGGTTCTGGAGGGTTTATCGCATCTTCACGAGCGCAACATTGCCCATCTTGACCTAAAGCCACAAAATATTTTATTAAGCGTTGAAAACGTCTGTGATGACATTAAACTATGCGATTTTGGCGTTTCGAGGGTGTTGGAACCTGGCACAAAGGTTCAAGCTATCTTAGGTAAGCATGCCTACGTCTTTTTTTTCAACTCTAGAATATTTGATTATTACAGGTACCGTCGATTATGTGTCACCGGAAATCTTGAGCTACGAACCAATCACATTGGCGGCAGACATTTGGTCGATTGGCGTGCTCGGATACGTTCTCCTTTCGGGGGTGACACCTTTTGGGGCAGATGACAAACAGGAGACCTACCTGAACATTTCCCAAGGTGACGTGACCTTTGAAGATGTCCACTTCTCGGACATTTCCAGCGCTGCCATAGATTTCATCAAGTGCACTTTAGTTGTGGACCCACGGTAAAAAAAAAAAGACTGCAAGTTGTTATAAAGTTATTAACTTAATCTGTTCGTTTTACTTTCAGAAAAAGACCAACTGTTCAGCAACTGCTACAACATCCATGGATAACTCCGAAGCTGCATCTGAAAACACCAGTGATACGCGAGGAACCTATTGTAAATGTACCAATTACACCGAAGACTACTCCCGTTTCACAGCGCAAGTCAATGCCTGCTTTGACTTCTGACACACCAATTGCGTCGCGTAAGAGCTACGATAGTTACGATGGCAACGCCCCACCTACCCCAACCGCAGTGCGCTCATTTGTCGCAAATTGCATGTGCGCCCAGTGTGGCACCACCTGCCGGCACATGCAAGCACCCGTCGCCAAGACCCCCATCACGGTTGACCGTGGCATTTTGTGCTAGCACCGCGCCCCCGACGCCACGCGAGTTTGCACCACCGATCCTTTGGGTATACTTTATTGTAGATTTTGTAGATTTTTTGCACACGTCCGCATCCAAGCCATGGTGGCGGGGATGGTTTCGGGCGTGCTAATAAGGTGGATTAAAAAAATGGCGCTCATATCGATTGAAGACAAAGAAGTTGCCTAGTAGTAACCTAGTCACAGATAGACAAAATTGAAATGAATAAAAGCAAATTCCAGTTTAGTGCCTCTCGTTATATCACAATGTATACATTTTATTACCAACTATTCAATACTTGCTATTACTATATTAATATTATTAAAGAATATTTGAGAATTTTATCGAATCGTACAAAATGTTTTAAAAATCTTCTCTATCATAACGTTACAAATAAAAAAGTATTATTTACTGATAACAAGGATGATATCAATTGATAGATCATATGGAATGTATAAACCAGTGGATTTTATCAAGAATAGGTGAGGCTCGGTGTAAAACAAGTGGCAATAAGTTCACGTTGCATAGAAATAATGTTTTCGCATTGCGATTATCTGTTTTGTGCGTCGTTTCTTTTGATGGGACTTAATTGTGTTTAGGGCTGTGGTTAGACGCGAAAATTGAGGGCAAGTGCTACAATTGCATCTTAAAATTTGTATAAATATTTATATTAACGCCCAGTTATGTTTTCGGTGTACCTTTCACTTATTTAGTGTTGAGGCAATGCACATAAAGCAAAAAATGTTGTATATTTAGTTTATTTAATAGTTTTACTTTTCTTTTTATTTTTTTTTTCTTATCACACATCAGATGTTAGATAATTGTATTTCATTTTTTACGCCTGCGATTGATTCAATTGATTTGAATTGCAATAGAAGCGTTGTAGCGGTGTAGAAGCGTTGTACAGGATGGAAAAAGATTCTTGTACCTTATTGTATGATTTCATCATTAATTTCATTAATATTTGTGTATGGGCGCAGTGCCACCGGCTGGCGAAGCTGGCGGCGCGCACAAATTAGATACAATTGTAGACTAATTTATTAAGAGCAATAGAAATTAAAGAAAAGACATGTTATAAAATAATTGCGAACTAAGAATTTTAATTTGTTTGAGTGAATGCGTGATTACAAAGATATTTTGTCAACTTGTGTCATCGTCTCTCTTTGACTCTTCAATTGCGTCACTATCATACGTATGAACATCACTTTCAACCTGGTTGGGTTGATTGGATTTAATACACTTTGGTAGCGTAGATTCGAACGTCTCCTTGAAGCTCTTTCCCTCAATAACCCTTAACAAAATTTCGAATACTTGCTTGATTGTAAATACTTTCCAATATTTCATGTGGAAGTATTCGCTCATTGGTAGCTGACCATGTTCAATTCCTTGTTCGAGTGCCTTTTTATAGCAAATGCCCTGGAAAAAATCATTAAAATAGAAATGATTTTCACTAATCTCTATACAGATCAGTTATATTTTATGTGAATTGTGATCTACAAGTCCTCCAATGATGTAGACCTTATCCTCCTCCTCCAAAGTGGTGATTATATGTGATGTGGTGATTATACTAGTGAGAAGTCAAGTAGATTAACTTTTGCCCATTATGTTTCTTCATCTCTGCTTTTGCCTTGCCATCTAAACTGGTTATGTGCTCTTGCATGGGTGTAATTGATCTTCTATTTCCTAACTCTAAAAACTTGCCTCTTTTTGGAAAATTTAAAAGCATGCTGTGGAAAACACCTTGTATCTCGCAAACAAATACACTTTTTTGAGTTTTTCACCGCCATATTATTGTTTAAGAGACGCTCTACACAATGCATACCATTTTAATGCGCTAAACATTCTGGAAGTGCCTTAAAATGCCCTTCAAACATCGGCATTTTTATAACATTTTGAAAACATGTTGTGGAAAACACCCTGTATCTCGCAAACTATTGCACTTTTCTTGAGTTTTTCACCGCCATATTATAGTTTAAGAGACGCCCTACACAATTCATGCCATTTTAATGCGCTAAACAATCTGGAAGTACCCTAAAATGCCCTTCAAACATCGGCCTTTTTTGGCAATTTTGAAAACATGCTGTGGAAAACACTCTGTATCTCGCAAACTAATAAACCTTTTCTGAGCTTTTCATCGTCATTTTATAGTTTAAGAGACGCTCTACACAATGCACGCCATTTTAATACGCTAAACATTCTGGAAGTGCCCTAAAATGCCCTTCAAACATCGGCCCTTTTTGGAAATTTTTAAAACATGCTGTGGAAAACACCCTGTATCTCGCAAACTAATACACTTTTTCTGAGTTTTTCACCGTCATTTTATAGTTTAAGAGACGCTCTACACACTTCATGCCATTTTAATGCGCTAAACATTCTGGAAGTGCCCTAAAATGCCCTTCAAACATCTGCCTTTTATGGAAATTATGAAAACATGCTGTGGAAAACACCCTGTATCTCGCAAACTATTACACTTTTTTTGGGTTTTTCACCGCCATTTTATAGTTTAAGAGACGCTCTACACAATACATGCTATTTTAATACGTTAAAGATACTGGAAATGCCCTAAAATGCCCTTCAAATATCCGCCTTTTATGGAAATTATGAAAACATGCTGTGGAAAACACCCTGTATCTTGCAAACTATTACACTTTTTTTGGGTTTTTCACCGCCATTTTATAGTTTAAGAGACGCTCTACACAATACATGCCAATTTGATCCGCTAAACATTCTGGAAGTGCCCTAAAATGCCCTTCAAACATCGGCCTTTTTTGGAAATTTTGAAAACATGCTGTGGAAAACACCCTGTATCTCGCAAACTAATACACTTTTTCTGAGTTTTTCAACGCCATTTTATAGCTTAAGAGACACCCTACACAATTCATGCCATTTTAATGCGCTAAACAATCTGGAAGTGCCCTAAAATGCTCTTCAAAAATTGTTATTTTTTTACGTTTTTTTAAATTTTTGGGTCGTGAAACGGACAAATTTTTATTTCAACATTCTTTATTCTTCAAAACTTGAAATAATTTATAACATTTTTTGTCTGAAGAACAGGGTCGAACTTTTTAAGTGAAAATATTTTTGGCCGAAGAACAGGGCCGAAGTTTTTGTGTTAAAATTTTTGGGTCGAAGAACAGGGCCGAACTTTTCAGTCAAAAATTTTTCGGCCGAAGAACAGGGCCGTACTTTTTAAGTTAAAATATTTTGGCCGAAGAACTTTTTTTTCTGCGAAATCAAATTAAACTTTAAACGCTAATAACTCCTGAACTAAAAGGGCTAGAAGGGAACGGACGGCAGATTCTTGACCCTTGAAGGATTCTCTACAAGATAGGCTATTAAAAACGGCCCTTTTTTTTCGCCTCAAAACTGAAAAAAGTGCAAAGAGGTACCTCTTATAGGTTTTTTGATTTTTGAAAAAATCAAACTAAGCACGCTATCCTGTAGAGAACCCTTTAAGGATTAAGGGCCTGAAGTCCGTTCTGTTCTAGCCCTTTTAGTTCTCGAGTTATTAGCGTTTTAAGTTTTTAATTGCGATTATCTCGGAAACTAAAAGGGCTAGAACAAAACGGACTTCAGGCCCTTGATCCTTAAAGGGTTCTCTACAGGATAGCGTGCTTAGTTTGATTTTTTCAAAAATCAAAAAACCTATAAGAGGTACCTCTTTGCACTTTTTTCAGTTTTGAGGCGAAAAAAAAGGGCTGTTTTTAATAGCCTATCTTGTAGAGAATCCTTCAAGGGTCAAGAATCTGCCGTCCGTTCCCTTCTAGCCCTTTTAGTTCCGGAGTTATTAGCCTTTTAAAGTTTAATTTGATTTCGCAGAAAAAAAGTTCTTCGGCCAAAAAATTTTAACTTAAAAAGTTCGGCCCTGTTCTTCGGCCAAAAATATTTTAACTAAAAAGTTCGGCCCTGTTCTTCGGCCGAAAAAAAATTGAACTGAAAAGTTCGTTTATTAAGAGCAATAGAAATTAAAGAAAAGACACGTTACAAAATAATTGCGAACTAAGAACTTTAATTCGTTTGAGTGAATGCGTGATTACAAAGATATTTTGTCAACTTGTGGCATCGTCATTATCACTCTCTGACTCTTCTATTGCGTCACCATCATTCGTATGAACTTCATTATCAACCTTGTTGGGTTGAATATTAATGCGCTTTGGTAGCGTAGATTCGAACGCCTCCTTGAAGCTCTTTCCCTCAATAACCCTTAACAAAATTTCGAACACTTGGTTGATTGTAAATACTTTCCGATGTTTCATGTGGAAGTATTCGCCGATTGGTAGCTGACCATGTTGAATTCCTTGTTCAAGTGCCTTTTTATAGCAAATGCCCTGGAAAAGATCATTAAAATAGAAATGATTTTTAGTAATCTCTATACAGATCAGTTATACTTTATGTGAATTGTGATCTACAAGTCCTCCAATGATGTAGACCTTATCCTCCTCCAAAGTGGTGATTATATTTTCGCTCTCACTAGTCAAGTAGATTAACTTTTCTCTGGGAAATATGTCCAAATAGGATGTTTGATGAAAATTCAAATCCCAGTGTTGATAACCATTATGTTTCTCCATCTCTGCTTTTGCCTTGCCTTCAAAACTAGTTATGTGCAGTTGCATAGGTGTAGATGATCTTCTATTTTCTGTATAGACTCTAAGAACTTGCTTGATTACTTTTCCAAGATCCTAAAATGATAAATTAATATGGAAATCTGTAATAAATTAACTTATTACTTTTGGTATCATTAAACCATCAAAACTCAGGTCAAGAACAACACTTGTTTTACAACTTGAATTGGCCATTCTACTCCTTTTCAATTGTTTTCTGGTTGGCCCTAAATCAAGGTTGTTCAGCTTAGCTTCATGCTTTCTTTTTTTAGTTTTTAGCCTTTCCTTGGCTCGCTTATCCTTCTTAACAGCCTCAAATTTTAACATCCTCCTGTATTTTTTAAGTTGGGACTTACTCAACTTTGAAACTTCCACACCATTAAAAAATAATGGGTTGCCATCGTCATCGTGCAACTTAATCTCCTCTTCATTGAGCTTCTGATACTTTTCCTGGTAATATTCCCTTGTTTTAAGGTTAGTTTCGCATGCTTCAATTAATTCGTCCTTCTTATTGCAGGTTTCACTTGAATTTTCCATCTTTTCCTGGGTTTTATCACTAGATACATTCATTATCGATTTAACGACACTGAAACCTCTATTAAACTAACAATTGTGTACAAATTTGTGAATACTGCTAACAATATTATGATGTAAATGTCAATGCACAGCTTCCAATATAAAACTGATAAAAATTAATACATTCACATTTTTAACATAATTATTTATTAGCACTACAAATACAATTTTTACAGTTTATAACTTCATTTGGGCATATGCACTAAAATCCCTGTCAGCATAATCTCTACCTTCATGCTTTTTAGAAACAAATGGATAACCTGGATCTCCAGGAAGCACAGCTTCTCTTGACTCATTTACATAGATTCCACCAAGTCTAGTCCAGTCATTTTGATTATATTTCAAATAATAAGTAAACCAGTAGGTCAGCCCAATACCAATCAGGGCTTTACCAGTAAAATACCGAATATTGCGTGCTCTCTCGAAGCCAAGAGATGGAGTGAGCATTCTTTGCAGAGCTTCCAGAGGGGCACGATAGAAACGCCTAATGGGGTTGTACTGGAAATTATACATCTCCGGCACATTAACAGGTTCACGATGGGTGAGCACCTGATCTTTTAACCATTGGGCTCGAAAGGCTCTTTCAGCATCTGTCATGCCCAGCAAGCGTTCACGTTCGCGGACATAACGCCCAGCAATCGACATCGGCTTTACGCCCGCTGTATCAGATGCCTTCCCCATGCTGAAAGAATCTCGACAAGTCTAGAATTTGTGTTGTTATTAAATTATATAATTTTTGATAGATCGGATTCACTTGTTTTGCAGGTTATGTAAAACAATAGGGAATTTACTTTGGTAAATTTTTGAAACTGGTGGAAAAATTTGACGTTTGACAGTGTAATAATATGGGGAATTTTGTGTTATAGTAATATCCCAAGTATTTTTCCTGGCTGTCAAAGACGGTGATTTGTTATTTCTCGTTTGTAGTCGGCGTTTTCTCAACTTTCTTGTTAACAGTTTTGTCGGAAATTTCAACAAGATGACTGTCACAAACAAGGTAAAAACTTATCACAATAATTAGTATTATACGAAGTAACTCGTATTGGCTTAGTTGGGTTCTTATTAATGTTTTGAAATACCTAGATGGAAGTTGATGGAGGCCCAAAAAGTGAGGGTTTCAGGTCATATTACATTACCAAGATAGAAGAATTGCAACTCACTGTTGCAGAGAAGAGTCAAAATTTACGTAGGTTGCAGGCCCAAAGAAACGAACTTAATGCTAAAGGTATACATCTTAAATAAACTGTTAAATGATTGATTAATGTATATAATGCTTATAATAGTAAGAATGCTACGAGAAGAACTCATGCTGCTTCAAGAACAAGGCAGCTATGTTGGTGAAGTAGTCAAACCAATGGACAAGAAAAAAGTCCTTGTTAAGGTTCATCCAGAAGGCAAATTTGTTGTTGATATTGATAAAAACATTGATATCAATGATGTGACTCCCAATTGCAGAGTGGCTTTGCGAAATGAAAGCTACACTTTGCATAAAATCTTACCTAATAAGGTTGATCCTTTGGTTTCTCTAATGATGGTTGAAAAGGTCCCAGATTCAACATATGAAATGGTGGGTGGCTTGGACAAACAAATCAAAGAAATCAAAGAAGTGATTGAACTGCCTGTTAAACATCCTGAACTTTTTGATGCATTGGGTATTGCTCAACCTAAAGGCGTCCTTTTATATGGTCCACCTGGCACGGGCAAGACTCTTTTGGCGCGGGCCGTGGCCCACCATACCGAGTGCACTTTTATTCGTGTTTCCGGTTCCGAGCTGGTGCAGAAATTTATCGGTGAGGGATCCCGCATGGTCCGCGAGCTTTTTGTCATGGCGAGGGAACATGCACCTTCGATCATCTTCATGGACGAGATTGATTCCATTGGTTCGTCGCGAATTGAATCAGGATCTGGAGGGGATTCTGAAGTCCAACGGACAATGTTAGAGTTACTAAATCAATTGGACGGATTCGAAGCCACTAAGAATATTAAAGTTATTATGGCGACCAACAGGATCGATATTCTGGACCCGGCATTGTTGCGACCTGGCAGAATCGACAGGAAGATCGAGTTTCCACCACCGAACGAAGAGGCGCGTTTGGACATCTTAAAGATTCACTCGCGAAAAATGAATCTTACGAGAGGGATTAACTTGAGAAAGATAGCAGAATTAATGCCAGGCGCCAGTGGAGCTGAAGTTAAGGGTGTTTGCACCGAGGCGGGGATGTATGCACTTAGGGAGCGTAGAGTTCACGTTACTCAAGAGGACTTTGAGATGGCTGTGGCCAAGGTCATGCAGAAGGACTCCGAGAAAAATATGTCCATCAAGAAATTGTGGAAGTAAACTTAATATGTATTTTAATATCTCTGAATGTATCGATTTCACAAGAAAAGTGAAAAATTCGTGAATTTAAATCTTTAAAATGAGTCTTCATTGCTATATTTTAATAAGATTTGCCTTGGTTTATTTCATGCATTGAACTATAAACTTCAGTTTGATCGATTGCCAAAACTACAAATAGTATTAGGAATTGCAATCGCATCGCGATGCATCTGATTCGTCTCACTACGCGCACCTTTCAGTCGACAACATAAGTGTTTCGGGCGATTAATTTTCGAGTAAATAATGGAAAACGCGGAATCCACGGCAGCAAAGATGCTTAGAACTCACCCCTATAACATTTTTTATAATTCAACACCCAATGCAAAGGACGAAAATACAATTTCGTTTAAAGGTATGTTATCAACGATCCCCGAAAATTATATTTACATGCATTTATTGGCAGATTTATTATGCCCAAGCTTGGGCGAGCTAAAATCATCCTTACACATAAATTTTCTCGTCGATTTACTCTGGCTCTTTGACGAGTACATGAAGGTTGGCCTTCAAAGCAAACCGATGACTGTGCTTTACGGTTTTGAGGTCGATTACAATGAACAAGAGACGGTCGATGTGTTGGACAAAATTATGCCCAATGTTAAGCATCACTTGATCGAAACGCAAGATATATTTGGCATTAATCATTCGTGAGTTTCCCGTAATTTATGGTCCCTTCTCTGTTGACTGTTAGATTTCTTTAGACGCATATCAATTTTTGAGTACCAAGATGGCAGCATTCGCATCGCCATCATGTCCGCTAATCTGAAAGATGTTGACTGGCACTCTATGAATCAAAGTGTTTGGTTGAGTGAATCGTGCCCAAAAATGGCGTCTTATTTAAGGGACAGTGAATGCTCTGGTCCGACTGGCTTTAAAAAGGCGCTTGTTAATTACTTGAAGAAGTATAAAATGTCCGCCGCACTCGCGGAGTGGATTAATTTAGTCCGTCGCGCCGATTTTTCCAATGTTAAAGTGTTGTTGGTAGCATCTATTCCAGGTGCGCATTATATTAAAGGTGTTGGTTGCCATGTGTTGGATATGGCCTATTATCTTAAAAAATATTGTACTGTTCCATCTGATCCGGAAGAAGAGAATACCTGGCCGATTATCGCAGCCGTTTCGAGCTTAGGCTCTTATGGTAAAATGCGCTGATACAGGAACTTAGAGTACTTTTTAAAATTATTGTTATTTTAAATTTAGGCGACAATGCAAGCGGCTGGCTCACGAGTCTGTTTCTGCGGAGTTTAGGTCGCCATCGCTCCTCCACAAGCGATTCTAGCCGGGAGGCCAGTCTCTATTTGGTGTATCCAAGCACGAAAAACATAAAATCGATGGATTTGAATCTACCAACTTCATCGAAACAGGCAGCAATTAAAGACTATCAGCAGGAGTGGTTAAAAACATTTCTACAGTAAGCTGCAAAGTGTTGTATTTCCTATTACGAGATAAATTAAACGAGATATTTGTGTTTGTACTCACTTTCAGTCAATGGAAAGCTGACAAGTTAAACAGAAGTTCAATGGTGCCGTATTCTAAGAGCTATTGTCGAATATCGCCTTGCATGTCTAAGCTGGCGTGGTTTCTGTTTTCTAGTGCGAATTTAGCAAAATCTGACTGGGGTGTTAAATGGGATTCTGATGTTTACGTACGAAGCTGGGAATTGGGCATACTTTTTATTCCGAAATTCTTTGGAATGGAATATTTTCCATTAATGGATAATGACATTCAAGAGAACGAGAAGAAAGTAAAGTTTCCTCTCATGTTTGATTTACCATTAGTATTATATGATACGGATGATGTTGCGTATTAAGTTTAGCATGTATCGTTTAAATATAAGCGAATAATTTATTAAATAATAATAGAACGTATTTATTTGAATCGGAGACTCAATATTATTGGCGGATATTCGTTTTATATTCATAATTCTTGCATGAAAGGTTGGTTGCCTACTTATATAGGTTTTCATTAATTTTCTGTTGAATTTATGTTCAACACGTAAATTGCCGGATATCTAACAGCTACATCCAGCATTCAACTAAAAAAGAGAGTTTTTACTTGTGCACTATGGATGAAGATGATCCTAAAGAATACCGCTGGGAGACTGGATACGAAAAAACCTGGTAACCCAATATAGCTATAAATTTTGGGATTTTTTTTATCAAGTTTTACCTTTTTGAGGCTAGTTTTCAAGTTTTAATTTATAATCTGTATTTTTAAAGGGAAGCAATAAAAGAAGATGACGATGGATTTCTTGAAGCTTCCATTTCGGATATAATCCAACGTGCGAAAAGAAAGCGCCAAGCTCTTAAACAGGGTCACACAAAACTGGGTATGATGCGTCACATGTATCTCATCATTGACTGTTCTGAATCAATGGGTGGCCAAGATTTAAAACCAACTAGATTATTATGCACAATAAAGGTATACATAAGCCTAGAGATGAGTTAATGCTCTTATTAATTTTTTTTATTTAAAAGCTATTAGAAGTTTTCATTGATGAATTTTTTGACCAAAACCCAATCAGTCAACTTGGAATCCTAATAATGCATAACAAACGCTCCGAGAAATTGAGTGAACTTACTGGCAATCCAAAGAAACACATAAAAGCAGTTCAAACTTTGAACAGAACTTCTTTGGTGGGAGAACCATCCTTGCAAAATGGTTTAGAACTAGCTGCAAAATCATTAAAACTACTCCCAACTCATGCCAGCAGAGAAATATTAGTAATAATGGGAAGCCTTACAAGTTGTGACCCGACTGATATCAACACAACTATTTCAATGCTGAAATCGGAGGGAATCCGATGTTCAGTAATAGGTTTAGCTGCAGAAGTGAGAGTTTGCCGGCATCTTGCAACAGCAACTGGTGGAACATACAATGTTATTCTTGATGATGCACACTATAAAGATCTATTGTTACAAAACATTGACCCACCGCCAGCTGCAAAGGGTTTGGAATCATCGTTGATCAAAATGGGATTCCCGCACCAGATTGGTGCAGCTCAAGAGAGTGTTGGTGAGGAGCCTCTCACGATGTGCATGTGTCATATTGATAGCTGTGATGACAGCAGTAAATTAACTACGGGTGGGTATTATTGCCCGCAATGTCTCAGTAAATATTGTGAATTGCCTGTGGAATGTCGGGCTTGTGGGCTTACGCTGGTGTCGGCTCCGCACTTAGCGAGGAGTTATCATCACTTGTTTCCAGCGTCAAATTATAAGGAGGTACAGGTAGAGGGTGAGCCATGTGGGGGATGCTTTGCCTGTCAGAAGGTATTTACACATTTGGATAAACAGGTAGGCATCAACGTTAGTCAACGTAATAGAATGGAATTTGAACCAATTTCATTTTCAGGTCTATCAGTGCTTTAAATGCACGAAATTTTTCTGCATGGACTGCGATATCTTCGTGCATGACACATTACACACATGTCCAGGTTGTGCTACGAATTTAGCAACCTTCCAAGGTTCAAACTAACAGTATGTGTTACGTAATTCTTTATTTTGGTTATAAATAATATTACCATAATGAAAAAATGAAAATAATTACCGTCCACCAAAACAAGATATTAGTGAGTGCGACTGTTTATCGAGAAGCAAAACATTAATTTATGACCAATTTCGTGTTACATCTTACGAGCACTAGTGTAGTTAAGTTATTTTTTCTTGAAAGCTTTCAACCTAGCGTCGAGCCCGATTACGGTTTTATTAATCTCATCTAAGTTGACTGCAAAGCTTTCCTGTACTCCTTTAAGGAGAGCTTTGTTGTTTTCCACATTGCCTTGAATTTCAGCCTGAAGAACTTCCACTTGAGTGAGTGTGCTTGCAAACTCGACACCTATAGAGATCCCAAGTCAAGTTTTATTATTACAAAAAACAATTATTGTAACTTACTTTTGTTGTGCAGTTGTTCCAAAGCCTGTAGACGTTCTACAGTCCCTGGTAAAACTTTTGCGAAATTCTCGCTGTCCTTTACCAAATCATATAACTCCTTGATCTAGTTAAACATTTAACAATTTAAAAGAATTTAGTTTATATATGTGCAACACCATTACCATTTTATCCTTCTCCACGTCCGCAGCCATTTCCTGCTTGACTTTCACAAGTCCGTCCATTTTTTGCGCCAATGCTGTGAGTCGTCCTTCAATGTGATCCAACTGTTTAGGGGCCAGGAGACATGCTGTTGCTGACAAGTGCTGAGCTGACTCTAATAAACTGCCTGATGTGAAATGTACAATTAATTATTCAGATTTTCATGAATTAAATATAATGCTGAACCCACTTTTCTCAGTAGCAGATGTGAGACGTGTCAATTTGTCCCCCTTGGTTCCCAGCACGCTCTCCAATCGATGTAGGCGCATCTCAAGGTCGGCCACGCGCGCCGTCTGCTGAAGCTTTATCTTCTCCGGCCTGTAATTCAGCTGGAAGGTTACACCCTCGCCCTGCGCTTGACCCTCGGGTGCTTCGACTGACGCTTTTTTGAAGCTCTCCAGTTGAGCCAATAAATTCCTATCACAAGTCAATTAACAAAATCAATCCAAAATCCTAATAGTTGCTGCTTATTTATTACTTTATTTGTGCTCCTTGTGGATCAACTATACTGCTGATCAAATCCTCTCCAAGTGACTCTGCAATTTTGAGATCTGCCAACTTTCTCAGTGCTTCATCAATCTGAGTGCCAGTCACTAGAATGCTTTCCTGTTGTTTTCCATCCTTGGCACTTTTTTCCTGTTGTTTCACTTCTTCAGCCAATTCAGCAAGTTCACACTGTAATCTTTGTGCTTTCTGTACCAGAGTCTCCTTCTGTCCTTGTTCCATCAGTTCCCAGTTTATTTCATACCCTGGTTGTGGAGTTGAAGTCAGAGTGTCAGAAAAGTCCACCTTCTGTCCATCAATAGCTTTGCCTTTGAACTTGTTGAAGGCATCATTAGGCGAAATGGTAATACGTTCGACTATGGTGTTAGTCTCCTCTATGAAATTTTGTGCCTGGTCAGACTCTGGTAAGTCTGCTGTTTCATAGACATCAGGCTCATCATAAGCCTATTTTCAGAATACATTGTTAAAATGTGCATTAATTATGATATACCTGCAATGACACTTACTATTCCTTCTAAACCGGCGTATTTGGGGTCTGCCATTATTCACTACAGTGGACTATTTAATATTATCACAAAGAGATATGAAATTGTTCGCCCATGAAAGTTAAGAGGTTAGGATTTGACAAGTTACTTATGAGACAGATTATGACGTACTGTACCAAATGTACCCAATAAAAACAAGGTTTTTCAAATAATGTTGAAAAAATCAAGCAATAAACGATTGTTTATTGTTCAAACATCTATTTACTAATACAAATCATTTTTTCACAAAATGAACACAAACAATTTATGATTCTCCTCAACTATAATTTTTTTATAACACATCATTTTTTTGGTGGCAATCCCATTTTCTCTCTGATCAAAAACTCCGGCAGCCGTCTTCCTTTCCATCTTTTCGGGATTATAATTTCGTGCAGCTTGTCCAAACGGTCTTGAACATATTTCCCTGCATCAAAAGCTTCTGCCTCATGACACTGAGCAATCAAACCAGCTTGGAAAGCCTTTTCTTTTTTCAATTCTCTACGTTGTCTAACCTGTATGAGAGTCATAAATTATAAGCCAAACTAAGGTAGACCAGAAACTTACTTTTGCCCATTCATACTTCATCCTTTTCCTAAGCTTTTTTAATTTGTGTTTCTTCATCTTCTTTCTTCTAATCACAATTAATCTTGCAGCTTGTTTCTCAATGGTGTTTTCAATTGTAGTAGGTGCATCAATTTTGATACTGTCCCTTCCATTGAAGTCATCTGGGTCTTCGTCAGGTGGCACCCACAATAAGCCATTTGGAAACCGAATTGAATTTTCTATTAATGGATTTTGAAGTGGTGCAGGTTCATGGTAAATCCAATTGCTATTCAGTCCTGATTGAATTCCTAGCAGTGGTATGCAAGGTTTTGGTTGTCGAATGATCTCTCGCGTGACGCATTTTGTTGAAAGAGACTTTGTAGCTGCCTTTATAAAAGCTACAAGTAATTGCAATAAATTAAAAGAAATGAGCATTTGATGTACTTACCATGAAACTTAATTAAATTTATGGACCTCGCCAGAAGAGACATTGTTTAAGGTTAAATTATAATCAAATTTTGTATGCCCTCGGTCGTGCAGATGGCGTTTGGAGACATGAACTTTTCACAATTTTAAACTTGTTTTGATTAGATCGAAAAAAAAACGAAATCCCCGGCCTCCTACATACGAACATTTATACCAATGTTTGTTTTCTAATAGTGACATACTTGTTTTATCTGTAAAGGAATTTAAACTGGTTGTCATTGTCATCTGGTAACAATTCTAGTAACTTTGAGGGCGCCACTGTCATTGACAACAACATCTTTGGTTTTGACGCTTGATATTTCTCTCTCTCTTCTTTTGTACAGACTTATTTACGTATGAGCTAAGTAAAGTTAAGTAAACACTTACTGTACGCTATAAAAATATCGTTTTGGCGATATTGTGAGGGTATAGCGTACAGTAAGTGTTTACTTAACTTTACTTAGCTTATACTCACCCTCTCGTACTACCATTGTATTTCAACAGATAAATAGGTACAACTCGCAGAGAATATTCTACGGACTAATATCTATAACATACAGTAGTTAAAGCGGAAATCTGAAAAATAAAATTTTTTTACTTAAGAAAAAATTGCCAAGGGGGGGGTGCTTGATACTTTTTTTCGACGATTTTTGAAAATTCATATCTCTTAAACTAAAAGCCAGAGCAACCAACGAATCGCTGGTTATTGAAGACTGGAAAATTCTGTACCAGATAAAAATTTTAAATATATATATTTCCTACAGTAAAGGGTCGAAAAAGGCGACTAAAAGTGCTAAAAAGTGACATTTTTTAATTTTTGCCCATTTCATTCAATCGCGAATATTTCGTAAACTAACAGAGATAAATACGTAGGTACAACTCGCAGAGAATATTCTACGGACTAATATCGATAACATACAGTAGTTAAAGCAGAAATCTGAAAAATAAAATTTATTACTTAAGAAAAAATTGCCAAGGGGGGGTGCTTGATACTTTTTTTCGACGATTTTTGAAAATTCATATCTCTTGTGGAAAACTGAGTACACACCAGTTCGCTGCGAGGAGTTTCTTCTGTTGTGTACCCTTGGGTGGTGCATGCACACTTTCGTGTACGTGTGTCACACGGCCGCTACCATTTAAGACGCCACACTATTTAAAAAACACTCTTTATTTTTCGCGTCCTCAGATGGCGCGACGATGTAGGTTTAACCCGGATTATTCCGGCGAGTACATTTTGTTTTTGACGTGATAACGTCTTTAAAATCGTTTTAGTCGGGTGACATGTTCAGAAACTGTGTCACGAGGCCTCTCGAGGCCGATCGCAGGTATACCCCCCTCTCGTTATAACGAGAGAGAGACGGACCGATCTCCCGTCGCATCTCGAGCGCTGCCAGTCATTCCATGAAACTTGTGACGCGGAATCCACACGAGCGGAGGCAGGCATAGCGTTCGAGTGAGTTGACCGATCTTCCGTCTCTCTCACTCTAGCGGCATACAAACGAATGGAGATTTTCTCGTGCGGTTAAGTTTTCGTTGAATGTTTAACAGTAAAACAAAATGTGAAGTGCAAGTGAAGTGTTACAACAATTGCAACAAAAAAAACTTATATCACCAATAAGACGTTATCACGTAAACATCTCGATCGTAAACCTACTTTACAAACAACCATTTTTTAATTAATTCGAATATGAATTCGACCTACAACTTTATAGCTGTGGAAAACACCCTGTATCTCGCAAACTAATACACTTTTCTTAAGTTTTTCACCGCCATTTTTAAGAGACGCTCTACACAATACATGCCATTTTAATGCGCTAAACATTCTGGAAGTGCCCTAAAATGCCCTTCAAACATCGGCCTTTTTTGGAAATTTTGAAAACATGCTGTGGAAAACACCCTGTATCTCGCAAACTATTACACTTTTTCCGAGTTTTTCACCGCCATTTTATAGTTTAAGAGACGCTCTACACAATACATGCCATTTTAATCCGCTAAACATTCTGGAAGTGCCCTAAAATGCCCTTCAAACATCGGCCTTTTTGGAAATTTTGAAAACATGCTGTGGAAAACACCCTGTATCTCGCAAACTAATACACTTTTTTTGAGTTTTTCACCGCCATTTTATAGTTTAAGAGACGCTCTACACAATACATGCCATTTTAATGCGCTAAACATTCTGGAAGTGCCCTAAAATGCCCTTCAAACATCGGCTTTTTTTGGAAATTTTGAAAACATGCTGTGGAAAACACCCTGTATCTCGCAAACTATTACACTTTTTCCGAGTTTTTCACCGCCATTTTATAGTTTAAGAGACGCTCTACACAATGCATGCCATTTTAATCCGCTAAACATTCTGGAAGTGCCCTAAAATGCCCTTCAAAAATTGTTATTTTTTACGGTTTTTAATTTTTGGGTCGTGAAGCAGGGACAAATTTTTATTTCAACATTCTTTATTCTGCAAAACTTGAAATAATTTATACATTTTTGTCTGAAGAACAGGGTCGAACTTTTTAAGGTAAAATATTTTGGCCGAAGAACGGGGCCGAACTTTTTGTATTAAAATTTTTGGGTCGAAGAACAGGGCCGAACTTTTCAGTTAAAATTTTTTCGGCCGAAGAACAGGGCCGAACTTTTTAAGTTAAAATTTTTTGGCCGAAGATCATTTTTTCCTGCGAAATCAAAATAAAATTTTAAACGCTAATAACTCCTGAACTAAAAGGGCTAGAAGGGAAAGGACGGCAGATTCTTGACCCTTGAAGGATTCTCTACAAGATAGGCTATTAAAAACAGCCCTTTTTTCGCCTCAAAACTGAAAAAAGTGCAAAGAGGTACCTCTTATAGGTTTTTTGATTTTTGAAAAAATCAAACTAAACACGCTATCCTGTAAAGAACCCTTTAAGGATTAAGGGCCTGAAGTCCGTTTTGTTCTAGCCCTTTTAGTTCTCGAGTTATTAGCGTTTAAAGTTTTTAATTGCGATTATCTCGGAAACTAAAAGGGCTAGAACAAAACGGACTTCAGGCCCTTAATCCTTAAAGGGTTCTTTACAGGATAGCGTGTTTAGTTTGATTTTTTCAAAAATCAAAAAACCTATAAGAGGTACCTCTTTGCACTTTTTTCAGTTTTGAGGCGAAAAAAGGGCTGTTTTTAATAGCCTATCTTGTAGAGAATCCTTCAAGGGTCAAGAATCTGCCGTCCTTTCCCTTCTAGCCCTTTTAGTTCAGGAGTTATTAGCGTTTAAAATTTTATTTTGATTTCGCAGGAAAAAATGATCTTCGGCCAAAAAATTTTAACTTAAAAAGTTCGGCCAAAAAATTTTAAACTGAAAAGTTCGGCCCTGGCCCTTTAATACTTCGTTCTTCGGCCAAAAAATTTTAACTGAAAAGTTCGGCCCTGTTCTTCGACCCAAAAATTTATAAAGTTCGGCCCTGTTCTTCAGACAAAATATTTTATAAATTATTTCCTGTTTTGCAAAATAAACAATCAAGTTTTGAAATAAAAAAAATGTTTAAAAATTTGTCCCTGCTTCACGACCCAAAAATTAAAAACGTAAAAAAATAACAATTTTTGAAGGGCATTTTAGGGCACTTCCAGAATGTTTAGCGCATTAAAATGGCATGTATTGTGTAGAGCGTCTCTTAAACTATAAAATGGCGTAAAAATTTAAAATATATATATTTCCTACAGTAAAGGGTCGAAAAAGGCGACTAAAAGTGCTAAAAAGTGACATTTTTTAATTTTTGCCCATTTCATTCAATCGCGAATATCTCGTAAACTAACAGAGATAAATAGGTACAACTCGCAGAGAATATTCTACGGACTAATATCTATAACATACAGTAGTTAAAGCGGAAATCTGAAAAATAAAATTTTTTTACTTAAGAAAAAATTGCCAAGGGGGGGTGCTTGATACTTTTTTTCGACGATTTTTGAAAATTCATATCTCTTAAACTAAAAGCCAGAGCAACCAACGAATCGCTGATTATAGAAGACTGGAAAATTCTGTACCAGATAAAAATTTAAAATATATATATTTCCTACAGTAAAGGGTCGAAAAAGGCGACTAAAAGTGCTAAAAAGTGACATTTTTTAATTTTTGCCCATTTCATTCAATCGCGAATATCTCGTAAACTAACAGAGATAAATAGGTACAACTCGCAGAGAATATTCTACGGACTAATATCTATAACATACAGTAGTTAAAGCGGAAATCTGAAAAATAAAATTTTTTTACTTAAGAAAAAATTGCCAAGGGGGGGTGCTTGATACTTTTTTTCGACGATTTTTGAAAATTCATATCTCTTAAACTAAAAGCCAGAGCAACCAACGAATCGCTGATTATAGAAGACTGGAAAATTCTGTACCAGATAAAAATTTAAAATATATATATTTCCTACAGTAAAGGGTCGAAAAAGGCGACTAAAAGTGCTAAAAAGTGACATTTTTTAATTTTTGCCCATTTCATTCAATCGCGAATATCTCGTAAACTAACAGAGATAAATAGGTACAACTCGCAGAGAATATTCTACGGACTAATATCTATAACATACAGTAGTTAAAGCGGAAATCTGAAAAATAAAATTTTTTTACTTAAGAAAAAATTGCCAAGGGGGGGTGCTTGATACTTTTTTTCGACGATTTTTGAAAATTCATATCTCTTAAACTAAAAGCCAGAGCAACCAACGAATCGCTGATTATAGAAGACTGGAAAATTCTGTACCAGATAAAAATTTAAAATATATATATTTCCTACAGTAAAGGGTCGAAAAAGGCGACTAAAAGTGCTAAAAAGTGACATTTTTTAATTTTTGCCCATTTCATTCAATCGCGAATATCTCGTAAACTAACAGAGATAAATAGGTACAACTCGCAGAGAATATTCTACGGACTAATATCTATAACATACAGTAGTTAAAGCGGAAATCTGAAAAATAAAATTTTTTTACTTAAGAAAAAATTGCCAAGGGGGGGTGCTTGATACTTTTTTTCGACGATTTTTGAAAATTCATATCTCTTAAACTAAAAGCCAGAGCAACCAACGAATCGCTGATTATAGAAGACTGGAAAATTCTGTACCAGATAAAAATTTAAAATATATATATTTCCTACAGTAAAGGGTCGAAAAAGGCGACTAAAAGTGCTAAAAAGTGACATTTTTTAATTTTTGCCCATTTCATTCAATCGCGAATATCTCGTAAACTAACAGAGATAAATAGGTACAACTCG